CTCTCAGAATTTTGGGCATACACACACACACACACCCAGTGTGTTTTCCAAGCTGCTGGGTCCGGGACTCGAATTGCAGAGTTGGCCACATGATATCCAGCACCTTAACTACTACTCCACTTGCTGGTCCCAGAGTTCATTTTTACTAAAAAACTGGTAAAGAAAGTCTTAATCTTAGATTGTTTTGTAGAGAACACAGACACTTAAAATAACTGGAATGAAATGTCACATAATGAACCTAAATGTGAAATGGTGCTGCTTTTAGCCAAAATGTTTAATCTAAGTTTTGTTTTCCAATATTTGGTAGCAAAATACTGTCAGGAGTTGTGTTTTTGTTGTTTTTAGTTTGATATAGGGCTCATGTGCTCTCCAGAGACTGAGAGGGGGAAAGTGAGAAATCCCCCCCTAGTGGAGATGGCCCCCCTGCAGTCCCTTCTCCTCCATTCTCCTCTTGGGATTCTGGGCACACACTTGCACACTTGCCTGGCATGTTTTTCAAGCGTCCCCCCCCCACACACACACACACACTTGAACATTGCCCATGGCCATGTGAGACCCAGCTGCCAGCAGGTAGCTTTTAAAATGTGGGTTTCTTGCCTTTCTCCAGCCAATAGATAAGATTGTATGCAAAAGGATCCATGTCAAGTGACCGAAAGTAATCATAAACCATTGTACTCATAGGTATTTTCCTTTTCTGCAGTTTAATGAAAACTATTCTCAGTGATTTAGCCTCATTCTAAATTGATGCACATTTTAAATTACTGTGATGTTTTTTCAAAGTGTGTATCAGTTCCCCAACTCTCTGCCATTCCAGTCCCTTGAAACATGCAGGAGAGTACTCCTGCTGCAGGGAGCACCTCTCCACAGTCAGAGGTGGAGGAGGCCCAAAGCTCCCTAGGCACCTGGTGTGGTTGTAGTTCCAGGGTCAGTAATTTGGATACATTTTGGGTAATTCGAATGAAGGATTTTAGTAACTTATTAACACATTGAAGGTGGCTAGCAAAGGGAAGGGACTGTGGGTATTCTTCCAGTCCTCAGTACAATCCACCCTGGGGCATTTTGCCCTGCCCTTGTTGAAGCCGTGGGAGAAAATAGCAGAACCCAGACCTGGCACTGTCATGGTACTCTCCCCCTCAGCCCCTCCACTAAGGTTGGGGCAATTTAGTTCTGAAGCTCAGGTTTATTTACAAAATTACCTATTTCTGTTTTGGCCCTTCATTTTATTTCTCTTTTATTCCTCACACCTCAATTCTTTATAAAATTAATGTTAATATTATATACTTTATATACAAAATTCCAACTTGGATTTTTTTTTTTTTATAACAACTTTTTGAAGGACCACGTGGTGGCACAGTGGTAACCCCACCAGACGCACATTGGAAAGGTCCTGGGTTCATGTTTTGGGACCTCCCTGAGTATGCAGACGTGCCCATGCCCATGATCCAGGCTGGGTACAGATGCTGTTGGAAGTGTCTGCCTTTCTGTCTCTCTCCAGAAAGCAAACAAAAACCCTGTGAGTAATCATCAGGTCATGTCCAGATATGTTATTTACAAATATTTTGCATTTGGGAAAGGTGATCTGTGCATCTGTTGAGTTCAAGTGGTTCTAAAGGGCGAACACTGAAAAGCACATCTCCTTCCAACCTTACTCCTCACTTCTTTCCCTGGATTCAGTGTTGGTGCTACTTTTTTCTGTTGAGTCCTTCTAGGTGGCAGATACGTCTGTTTTTATATGATTTACGATCTATGTTTTGGCACTGTGTGGAGGAAGTATTTCTGTCTTTCGGAAGCTGTGAACGAGGTGGGTGGCATTCACACTTGAGCACACTACTATCCATTGTTCTCTGTGAAGTAAATACTGACCTTGCATACCAGCATCGGGATGTATCTTGAGTACCTTTCAGTGCTATTGGTCAGACACAGCCCATTTTCTGTTTCTAGCTATTGGGAGTTTCACAGTAACTTTGGCCTGACTCTCTCATTCGGAATGTAAAGTACAAATCGTTTGATAGCGATCGAGGGTACTTACATGACTAGGTGTTCTATTCTGATAGTAATCCACTGACAAAGTGTACTGAGTGCGACAAAGTGTACCGAGTGCTTTATCCTGACTTTTTCTAAGCACTTTACCAGAGCATGTTATAGCCAAGATCTTGAGGCACAAAGGAATTGAGATTTTCACAGGCACACCTCCATGACTTGGTAATGGAACCAAGCAACGTCTCCCAAGATCCCTGGCTCCCTGGCTTTGAGCACCAATTCAGAACCGTTTTACAAATGCATTTGAACTCAGCCAACTCTAGAGGTAGACTGTTATAACTTGACACCTGTTATTTTCAGAAAATCATAGATTAAATCCCATACCCCAAAAACCTTTTAAAGGCTCTAGTTAAAGATCTTTTTCCATCCCGAATTTCCTCATTTTTCAGTCTGTTGGTTTTCAGCCTTCCGTTCCCACCTACTGTTCCTCCTCAAACTTCCCAACAGATTTTAAGAAGATTTATGTTACCGATCCATTTTGCAATCTCAATGTTCTGATTCAAAGCCCACGTATTAATGCATCTACCATCCGCATTCCTGGAAAGCTAGTCCAATAGAGTGTCCTGGAAAATGACCAGTTTAAGTCCTAAAAAAAAAAGAAATGAAAACACAAATCCAGACTGTTTGGAAGAGTTATTATAAAAGCATGGATGCCTGAGGAAACCTTTTAAATTCCTGTGTTTACTTGCTTTCTAGGGCTTACTTTGAACTTGAATCTTTCTCTAATCTTACTGTCCTCAGTTTGTCTGTATTTCAGTTGTGTAGAAGATCATCACCCTTGAGTTGTATAGGTTTGAGTTTAAATGGCCCTGAAACCTCCAGATATAAAGTGCCTCTTAAACTCGGTGGCCATTATTTTGACAGTGACAGTTCACCCTCCCCACACACTTTTTATTCTTTTGAACTGCCGATTGTATGGAAGATAGCAATATAAATTCTTTGATTTTGTTGTTGTTAGCATGTCTAACAGTTCATTTGGCATTCTGCTTGAGACAGGTCTTTGATAAGAGCTACAGTGCCTGTCACCAGGGGCGTAGCACCTTCTCTGTGTTGTCTGTTGCTAGTGGTGACAAGTTTACGCTGAAGAACCTTTCAACCTGAAGGTTCCTGAGGCCCGAATGACTATGACATGGTTCCGTTCTGACACAGTTGGTGCAGGGATAGAAGGCCGCAGCCTTGCAAGCACTTCATGCTCCGCATGGACAGAAAGAACAGACCATCTCATTTAGAGAAGAGGATCTTGAGCAGAGGGCAGTCCCGTGTTGGCAAGGTGACTGTGATACACTCATCGTGAAAGGCATTCCGCAGTACGGACTTCAGTAAATCATGCAGACACAGCTTTTGATTGGCGGTGGACTTGTGTGCAGTGGATGCTTTAGGGAGGAGACATTTGTGAATTTACTCGCAAAGTCAAGTTGACATTGTCCTAGTAACCTAGGGCATGGGCCAACTTTAGTGACTACTTTTGTATTTGTGCTTTTTTTAAACCTGAAAGGAAGGTTTAGACCATCCGTAGGGGAGAAAATTAGAGGGAGGTGAGATGACCAGCTTATGTTTACCCAGCTAGTGGGAAAGCCTAAATTTGCTACCTTACTACAACTTCCTCTTACAGCGAATAACATTCAGATATTTTAGAGCTTTAACAAGAGCCTTGTAATCCCAATAATACATTTGGATATTTTAGAGCCCTGAAGCAACCCTGTAATCCAAACAGCATAGATGTTAATATTTTCTAGATGAAGACATTTGCATCCCAGAGAAATGCAGTGAGTTGCCTGATAAATGGTTAAACAGTCAGAACTGAGGGCTGGGGTCTGGGGGCCTCAAACCTGCTGCCCATTTTGAATGCTCTGCTCCTTCTACTCAGAGCCCTAGAGACTAGTGAGTTTAATATTCAGCAACATTGGGAACCAGCAGTTAGCGTAATGGCTATGTCGCTGGACTCCCACGTAGTCGACCGCAGTTCGCGTCCCAGACCCGGTGGCTTAAAACTCACGCCAGGCGCGTGTGCATGCGTGCCCAAGATCCCAAGAGGAGAATGGAGGAGAAGGGATTGCGGCGTGACCATCCTCTCTGGGGGGTGATTTCTTAATCTCTGTCTCTCTGTCTGTCTCTGTCTGTCTGGCGAGTGCACGCGCCCTATAGTGAAAACCTCTCCCCCCCAAAAAAAAATATTCAGCAACATTTACTGAGCTCAGCTCGGGCCCTATGTTATGAGTCAGTACGAATATTCTACTACCCCTTATGACTTAATGGTAGAATTAGGATAATACATGAGAAAAATATCTAATGTTCAGTATAATTAAACTGTATATGCAAAAGTAAACCAGTGCAGGGGCCAGCCAGGTGGTGTGGTGGTTGAAGTAGCTGGATCCCACATGGCCAACTGAGCAGTTCCAGTGCAGGACCCAGTGTCTTGAAGAGCCTAACCAACATAATGGGCACCTGTGAGTGTGTGTCCAGAATTCCGAGGAGAGAATGGAGAAGGGATTGTGGCATGATGGCATGGTAATCTGTTTCACTTTCTGTCTCTCTGACAAGTGCATGCACCCTGTACAAAAGGAAGGAAGGGAAGGGAAAGGAAGGGAAAAAGAAAGGAAGGAAAGAAGGGAAAGAAAGTTAACTAGTGCCGCTATAGTGAAATACGCCACCATTAGTGGTGAATTTGAGGCACTTTTTGGCTCATATCAAATAACCTGAGTATCTTTTCCCTGCCCATTCTAGGTGGTTTCTTTAGGACAGGGTACTAGTAGTCATTTTTAGCCTCTCCAGTTTCTACTAGCTTCTTCCTTGTAATCTGTAACCACAATATTCACCGATTTAAGAGGAAAGGAATTGATTTATTTTGGCTTTATTTTATTTTTGTAATAGAGAGCATCTGCACATGCACTCAAGAAAGAGAGAGAAGCACTCTCGACAAGATCTTGTCATGTGAGGTCCCTTTCCCAGTCCCCCTACCCCCCAGCTCCTCAGGGTGCTGAGGTCCAATTGTAAGTAACTTAAAAACGAGAAAGCACAGGGCTGCAGTAAAACCTGTAATCTGTTATGGAGGCACAGGAGGGTAGCTCAGTTCCTGAAGTCCTTGGAGACTAGCTCTTGGCTTCTCCTTCCTAGATTGTGCTGCTTGGGTTCCTGGCTGTTTTCCCAGCAGCACCCTGCAGGAAGAGACGAAATGAGGGCAGATGGCCATGCCAGCCATCTCTTAAAGGTGCCCCCTAAACCTAACGGAATGCCTTACTTCATCCTTCCAGCTAGAACTCAGTGGTGTGCTCCTTGCTACATGCAGCTTGCCATCATCCACGTAAAGGTTCTTGTCTACCGCGCAGGTATAGGAGGTTGGGTTTGGAGAGAAAGATACCAGAGGGGTCATTCAAACTGTCTAGCCTGGTGTTCAGTTCGGACTTGGTTTTCAGCCCCCTTTTCGGTCACTTACCACGTGAACCCTGGGAACCAGCCCAGCGCCGTCTTTTATCCTTGGTCAGAGGGGTAGCCTCCATCTCAGAATCTCCTAACGCCGAAGACCTCACTGCTCAACCGCGATTGCTGGTGCTTACAACTAGACTTCTTTCTTTTTT